AAATTAGTTGTTGGAAAAAATTGAGTAGAATGTTGGAGAAGATATATAGTATATTTGTATATTTTAGAAACATTCCTGTTCACTAAAAATTGTTTGTCACACGTGTTTGACCTGGGAAAGGATGTCTGTTTCTGTAATAGATATTATTATATGACTCAGAACCACTCTGGAGATACTTATGACACTTGGAAGGTGGTCTTTTAGATCACCCTTCTTGTAAGAGTAAGTAATAAGCTTCGGCTAGTTAATGTTTTGTTGTTGGCTTTTTATAGTTCAGTGGCTTAAAAGCAATGTGAGCTGAGAAATACTATTCATGTTAAAAAGGCTGAAGAGAAACAACTTTTATTTCTACTAAGTCAGATTTACAAAGACATATCTTTGTAATACATAGCAGTGAGACTGAATTCGTGCAGTTTTTTATTTTATTTTATTTTATTTTTGAGACGGAGTTTCGCTCTTGTTTACCCAGGCTGGAGTGCAATGGCGAGATCTCGGCTCACTGCAACCTCCACCTCCTGGGTTTAGGCAATTCTCCTGCCTCAGTCTCCTGAGTAGCTGGGATTACAGGCATGTGCCACAAGGCCCAGCTAATTTTTTGTATTTTTAGTAGAGATGGGGTTTCACCATGTTGACCAGGATGGTCTCGATCTCTTGACCTCATGATCCACCTGCCTCGCCCTCCCAAAGTGCTGGGATTACAGGTATGAGCCACCGCGCCCAGCCTAGTTTTGTTTTTTAAACATTTTTACTGCTTGATGGAAAGGACTGTAGCAAAAGTAGATCCCTTTTTAAAATTTGGTTTAATAGTCATAGTGAATTATCTTAGAACTCCTTGTTAACCAAATACAGGCCTTTAGATTATTGACAGCTTGATCAAATTCAATCTATATACTCAAATCAGGAAGTTAGCAATTCATGCAAGCATTTACCATGGGATAAAATTAATTTCATGTATCATTTTCAATAATACATAACACTTGGTTGGCTTGGCTTTGAGTGTTAATAAGAGTACATGAAGATTTTAAATTACATTTTTCTTTATTTGCATAAACAATGAGGAATCTTATTTTTTGAGACCAGAAAGTAAGAAATTTTACCATGATCAGGCAGCCACAGGTGAATATTTTGGAAGATTGTTTTCTGGGGAGAGAAATCCCGTTTCTGATTTGCTTTTGAATGATTTCCTTTTAATTCTAGACTTGAGAGGTGATTGCCTTAGCAGTATACTGTATATTAAACTGTTCTTTAGCTTAAGAACTTATTTGTAGCTGCGATTTGTTTCATATCAAACTAAATTTTTAAAAGTACTTTCTGCCTTTCAGGAAGCCTTTGTGACTGACATTTGCTTTCTTTCTCCCTACTGTTTTATGGGAATAATAATCTTGTGAATTTTTCCAATCATTTTTATTGTGTAGATGTTAAATATTCAGATTGTGGATTATATATTCATCTTGATTCTTATTTATATCCTGATTTTTGTACTGATTTATAGTTTATTCACACCTCCACCAGAGTGCTTAAAGAAGAATAAAAGTGAAAATCAGTTTTCTTGTTCATTAACAGGTCTTTTGAGGGTTTAATACTTAAACTTTTGGCTAACTGGTATGGGGCTGGTTGATTCTTTGATTTCACTTTATCTTACCTTTCTCTCATGAATGCAATGAATATTTACTCTAATATCTTTCTTCTCAGTGGAATTAAATTGTGTTTATTAAACTGTAATAGGCTTGCCTGATTTATTAAATTCCACCTTTTCTTTACCTCCACTCCTTTAAAACTACTTCCTATGAAAACTCTTATAATCACTATTAAGAGAAAATTACTTGTGACTTAGAAAATATTCTTATTCAACAGATAGTTGAAATCTTTGCAGATTGGGACATTGTAAGATTTAGACAAATTTCATCATTTATATATTCTGATAATTTAAGTTTCAGTTATAAATTTATAATGAAATGGAAAAAAAATAAAGTCCTGAGCCCCTTATTCTTCCACATCAGCTTGTCTATTACACCAAACAAGGACTCTCTTAAGTGGCTGTTGTTCTGAGGCTGAAACCAAAGAACTGGGTCACTGACAGAGCCATGAAACCGTACATTTCCTCTCTTTGAAAACAACAGATTAAAAAAAAAATTCCTTCTCCCCATATTAATCACTTTATGTTAGTATTTATCCATGTTTAAGATTTACATTGAAAGCAAAAGTCTTCACAGGGAAAACATGAGTTTTACCTCTCTTAGGGAAGGAATTCTGTAAATTTCTACAAGTATTTATTTTTAAATATTAGTGGGTCTTTTTCTAATTAAGATCTTGGAAAATTATGTGCAACTCTGATTGTTGTAACAGGCATTAAAGATGAGCTTGCTAAATAAAATGAACCTTATATAAGTTGTAATTCAGAAAATACATAATTTTTTACATCTCATTGCTTTATGTATTATATCTGTCTTTTTCTATAAGTGGTTACATAATTAGGGAGGAGAAATAATTTGCAGATTGATCCTCTGAATAATTAAGAGGAATCTGGAGCTAAAATCTTTCAATATTGGAATTTTATCTGCATAGCTTTCTACCTCTATAACATTGGGCAAGTTACTTAACCTTTCAGTGTCTGTAAAACAGGGATAATAATAGTAACTTGTTAGTAGGAGTTGTTAGGATTAAATGTGATTATTTAGCATAGATATGTAGCATAGCGCCTAGCAGACTATAAGCAATTTTCATTTGACATTTCTGTCAGCCAGTTTTTTGTATTGGCATTATCTTTGAAGAAAGACCTATTTTAAGATTTTTTTCTTACCTTGCTAGTAAATGTATTAGTATGAAAAGTTAAACAGTTCCAAGGTTCACATGGAAATAAAAGTAAAAAAAAAAAAAAAAAAAGTTTGTTTAGTAAAGAAAAATTTAATTTCCTTTGAACATGTCAGTTTTGTTTTAAATCTTTAGTTGGGTTGAGGTAATGAACCCGAATTTATTAACCAGCTTGTGTTTGCATACACAATTACGTTAAATGCAAAATCTTTTAAAGTCTAAAGGACTATTGATCTGTGTTTTAAAGAATAATTTTTGTAAGCTTATTTTGATACTAAAATGTATTCCATTGCCATAATATTTAAAGTTTTGGAAAATGGTAACATTATTTTGTCTCTCTAGAGTTATATTTATTTTCATGATGAATATTTTCAAACTTAACAATCTAATGTAAACTCTTATTTTTGCAGTTATATGTTTGCCTAACACACAGACACACCAAGCATGTTTCTGTCCCCAAGGTCTTTGTACTGTTTCTCTTTATGTGGAATCCTCTCTTGGAGCACTCGGGTCTATTCTCCAGCTTTTGGGGAATGTTCTCTTCTATCTAAAAATGTGACTCTATCTTTATTATGTTTGTTGTTTTCCCCCTACCTGGCATTATACTTGTGCTTGTTTAAAATCACTTTCCCATTAGAGTAATATCCAAGGGTAGAAACCTTGTTTTGTTCACTGCTGATTCTCCTACTGTATGTGATAAAGCACAGGGTTTGGCACATTGTAAGTGCTAACAAATATTTAAGTGAATGTAAGAATGGTGTTGATCAAATTAAAACAGTTTTGTTGTGGAAATGAAGATTCTGTTAACCAGTTTTAAATAATCGTTTTACATGATGTTATTTGAGGTTTTTATGCTCAGAAATAAACCATTTGAAAAGATGTTAATTTGTAACTTTTCACCTCCCCCCCCAAAAAAAAAACAGAAAAAGATTTAAATTTAGAACACTTGGTACATAGTGTGAACTGAGAGTTAAGAAAAGGTTGATTGAGAATACTGACACAGCTTAAAATAGCAGTGGTACTGTGCAGTGATTTATCTTGTTTTCTTTCCAGGAACTAGCTCAGTGCCTAACACTGATAATCAATAAATGTTGGGTGAAGGAATGAGTCTGTAAAATGAGTAAAGTCATGAACTAATTCCTAGTTTCTTAAATAGTATCCTAAGGACCCTTGAATAATTGCTTCTGGAATAAAATACATTGAAGTTTGCAATGGAATCACCTGGAGGGCTTGTAAATACAGTCTGTTAGGTTTACTTTCCCCATCTTGTGTTTGAGGTGGATTATCTTGTGTTTGAGTTGGAGCAAAACATTCTTATTTCTAAATTTCTAACAAGTTCTGAGGTAGTGGATGTGATGCTGTCCTCCTTTGAGAACCTTTGCTGCAATATCTGTATTCCTATTGAGGTAATTCACATTAATGTATTGAAGGTTTTGAGCAGCACTGCAGTTTGGTCCTAGTCATCTTCCCCACTTGTTTCTTTGTATATATATGTGTATGTATGTATCCATCCTCATAAAAGAGGTTTTTTTTTTTTTTTAATTCTGCATGCTGGGGTAGGTAAATACTGTGTCAGGAGTGAAGACTTCAGAATTGAGCCCTGTTGCAGAGTTGGAAGATACTATGGTAGTTCCGATCTGCATAAAAACATTTGTATACATTTTTGATTCTTGCAAATTGTAATTTGGAATAATTATTAGGGATGTATAGCAAGAATAATTTTAGGAAAATTGATTCCAAAATAATGAAATGATTTCTAAGTAACATTTTTACTCTTTATTCATGTATCACTTTCAGTCATCGTTGGTGGTTTTAATCTGCCAAGCCACATTTCCAGAACTTTAGGGACTTGACAAAATTAGGAAATAATACTTTGTCATAAAAAGTTGGGTTTTCTCTGGATGAAGTTTGAGTCTTAGCTAGTGTCAGATTTTCCCTAGTTGTATTTTACACTTTAGGCTAATCTAGTCTCATGGTGTAGCATTCTACTTTGCATATCTTAGATTTTGTTGACTTAATTGTATGATTTTACTGATTCTAGTCTTTTGTCTTAGAGTGATGGTTTTGATACAAGATGTGGCTAATCAATGGAAAAGGGATATTTGAGGAAGAAGTGGTGATGAACTATGAACTCTAAAGATGTTAAATGTAGCACAAATTTGAATCTAGAATTCTTTATGTTCCCTAAGGCTGTGGATCTTTCCATTGATGAGTCCAGCTTGACAGGTGAGACAACGCCTTGTTCTAAGGTGACAGCTCCTCAGCCAGCTACAACTAATGGAGATCTTGCATCAAGAAGTAACATTGCCTTTATGGGAACCCTGGTCAGATGTGGCAAAGCAAAGGTAATTTTTTCTCTGTTTTGAAAAAAGCAGTTTATTTGTTTTAAACTATTTTCTTAATTATTTTTTGCTAATTTTATGTGGACTTTTTCAAATACCTGACAAAGAAAAGATAAAATTGAACTTAACCCATTACATCTAGTTGTGAAACTGGGGAGAATCTGTGTCCCTGAAGTATAATATTTCTATAGTTCTGCCGTTTACCAGATAATGGAGAGTCCTTAGTACCTCTTTCTTTTTAAAGAAAGAAACAGTGGTTTCATGGATATGTTTATTACTAGTTAAATAAGTTTTTAATTTAGTTGATATGATATTGGCTGTAATATTCTGACTATACATTGTTCTCCTACTGATGATTTCACGTGGTTCATTTCCTGAATTCTGATACTTCACCAGTGCAATAGACAACATTTACTATCATATAAGGGGTAAAACGAAACTATATTAAATGTCTCTATTGAGGATAATACAGATTTGGATTTGAAAAATACTAATATAGGCAAAAAATAGGCCTCAGAATTGAGTCAGCAGTACTTTTTGTTTTGTTTTTCTGAGACAGAGTCTCGCTCTGTCTCTAGGCTGGAGTACAGTGGTGCAATCTCAGCTCACTACAGTCTCCACCTCCTGGGTTTAAGTGATTCTCCTGCCTCAGCCTCCCATGTAGCTGGAATTGTAGGCACATGCCACCACGCCTGGCCAATTTTTTGTATTTTTGGTAGAGTTGGTGTTTCACCATGTTGGCCAAGCTGATCTTGAACCCCTGACCTCACCCGCCTCGGCCTCTCAAAGTACTGGGATTACAGGCATGAGCCACTGCACCCAGCCAACAATATGTTTAATGTAATGTTTGTTTCCAGGGTTTGCATCATAAGGGACAAATGCTAATGATGGTAACATAAAAAGTAAATTTGCTAAGGAAATCTTAGGGGTGTGTATGTTAGATATCGTCACTGTAGGTAAGACTTAGAAGAAAGGGGGAAAAAAGTTGGGGTGTGTGTGTGTGTGTTTGTGTGAGTTTTGGTTTACATTCCATCTGAATGTAAATGTATTTTCCTGTTTTTCCCCTTAGGGTGTTGTCATTGGAACAGGAGAAAATTCTGAATTTGGGGAGGTTTTTAAAATGATGCAAGCAGAAGAGGTGAGTACTTCATATGTTAATGATATATTTGTTTCAAATCTGAAATTCTTCATTCTAAGTAGGGGATAATACTGGATTATTTTATATACTATTGAGAGCAATATTTTATTCAGAATGGAAATCATATGTCTTTGTTTAGAAATATAGTTGGAAAGGCTGTAATTGAAAAGGTCTAAATTGATGGTTTTAGTATTCTAAAGGATTTTGACCTTTACTCATTGTTTATAGTGGAAAAAGGCTTGTAGCCACTTATTTATAGATCTTATTGTTTTACGAAATTAGTGTTATGGTAATTTTAAGGATTAGTAATTAGAGCATGTCTTCTTTCAAAGTTTTTCAGCTTCACATAATTCCAGGTAAGTGTGGCAGGGTAACGATTGCCAAGTAAAATAACCTATAAGATCTTCTTGGCTAAAAGTATTAAAGATTAGTTCTCTCATTTAAAATGCTTTGTTACTATAAAAAGAAGTTGCATTCTGTACATATCGTGCTCTCCCCAAATTATCTGGATTTCTCAGGTAACCTGCTAAAATTCCAGTATGTGTTACAATGTGGGAATTCATTCTAAGAGGCGTGGCAGTGAAGGGATGAATAGAGAAGAGGGTTAGTGGGTCAGCAATTCTATGGGATTAAAAGACTGGAGTTACTATTACTAGCATGTTTGTGGATACAGGAAGGGGAAAATTGGAAAAGTAAATGAGAGAGCAGCTGATGGTAATGAAGTCCTGCAGAGGTTGGTAGAAGGGAGAACAGATTTTTCCTCAAAAGGAAGCATAGGGAAAATGGACCTTTCAAATAAACAGATTTTTTAAAATAGAGAATTTTTATTCCTTACTCCGTGACCTTGGGCATTATGTAAAATCTGAGTCAGTTTTCTCAGTGAAGGTGATACTTACCTTATGGGAGAGTTGTATGGTTAACTTAGGAATTGCTTTGTCAAGCACTTAGCAAGTCTCTGGCACCTGATAAAACTTAGTAAATACAGCTAATTGTGGTGACACTCTTCTTCAATTTATCAAGGCACCAAAAACCCCTCTGCAGAAGAGCATGGACCTCTTAGGAAAACAACTTTCCTTTTACTCTTTTGGTATAATAGGTAAGAGAAGAGTGAGTATGTGTATATCTTTTAGTTTTCTTTTTTGAATGTGAAGGGTGGTGTTATTCTAGTTTTATTTATTGGCTTTTTTAAAATTTAATACTTTTTAAAATTGTAAGACTAACTTCTAGTCACTGTTCATTTCAACAAAGACAAAAATAGAACTCTGTATAATTCTTGTAATTAGAAAATATTTCTTTAAGCATTTTAGTATTTGTCCTTATAGTCTTCAACAAAAATGTGGTACTATAGTTTTATGGACTGCTTTTCTGTTTTTGTTTCACATACCCTGTCATAAAACTCTTGTCATTAAATTCATACATAAAACAAATGTAAAGGTTGTATAGTATTCCATTTTGTGGGAAAATATAATAAGACCTCTGTTAGACATTTATCTAGGTTTTTTTAGTCATATAAATACTTCTTCATGGTGGGTATCTTCTTGTAAATACTTGTCTTTTTTTTAAGGAAAAATTCTTAAAATAAAATTAGTCAAAGGGGGTCCATGTAACTTAAATTTTTGGCCAACTTTAAGTGTTGTCATTAAGTTCAACTGTAAATAAAAGAGTTCTCATTATTTGATTTCACAGTTCGTTATTAGGGAAACTGAATGCTTTGTCATGTGTGGGTTGATTGTTTTTATTTTACTTTATGACCCGCCAATGATTTGTTTTGTACCGTTTCCTGTGTCTTAAATCTTAGATTGATAAAAAGCTTTTTATATGACTAGATTATCAGTCTTTTTGTTGTTTAAGTATTTTTGCTTTTTCATTTAAGTTGCCTTTAGGGATGTAGAATAAACTTGGTATGAGGGCAATATATGTATTTTATACCTAGTGTTCCATTATTGGAACACTAAGCATGTGGGAGTTATTTATATCCTACTGCTCAATGTGTGATTGCAAAAATACAAAAAATTGCAACCTCAGGCACAAGTGGGTTAAAGCATTCCCTTTTACTTGAGATTCTGTTAGCACTCTCCTATTGATAATCTGCAATTAAGGTTGTTTTGTTCTATTCCTAAAGATTTTCCCAACCTCATTATTGTAGATACATTTATTAAAACGTTGGTTTTTTTATTTCTGACATTTTACTATTTAAAATTTATTTTAGTACTGGGCTTAAGGTAGAGTTTTAACTTTTTAATTCAAGTTAATTATCGTATTCTCTAATCCATTCTTTTTTATTGGGTTGAAATCATGTTTTTATCACACATTAAACACTTGCATTAATTTTGGAGTCTTTTTTCCCTTAATTTTCTTACATGTTAATTATTTTAGCTAGCTTAGTATTTTAAGGTCAATAATTCAATTTTTTTTTTTTTTTGAGATGAAGTCTCGCTCTTGTTGCTCAGGCTGGAGTGCAATGGTGCAATCCTGGTTGACTGCAACCTCTGCCTTCTGGGGTTCAAACAATTCCCCTGCCTCATCCTCCTGAGTAGCTGGGATTACAGGCAGACACCACGACACCCAGCTAATTTTTTTTTTTTTTTGTATTTCTAATAGAGATGGGTTTCACCCTGTTGGCCAGGCTGGTCTCAAACTCCTGACCTCAGGTGATGCCTACCTTGGCCTCCCACAGTGCTGGGATTACAGGAGTAATGCAATTTTAAAGCACTATTTCTGTTAATACAATATTAGTTGAAATAACTTCTTAAATATTAATTTTGTTCATCTATCTTCATTGTAAACAAAGTAGAAGGTAGGAAGATATTTTAGTTGTTTTTGTTTGACTGGTGTGTATGCCCTCATAACTACTTTAATTTGATTATTGCTGTTCATTTTCTAGAAATTTTATAGTGAATTTGATGAATTGAAGGGCATTCTAGCCAATTAAATCTTTGTAGTTTCTATTAGCACTATACCATAAAACCATTTCAAATTTAGTAATCAATATTTTTCAACTTTGTGATTTTCTTGTTTATGTTAGTGTATTATATTGGACATAATTTTTCTTGCCAAGGTCAAGAGCTAGATCAGGGTCAGCAATTTTTTTTTTTTTTTTTTTTTTGGTAAAGGACTAGATAGTAAATATATTAGTCCATATGGTCTCTGTTGGAAAGACTTCACTTTGCCATTAGCATGAAAGCAGTCATAGAAAATATTTAAATAGGACCGGGTATGGTGGCTCACGCCTGTAATCCCAGCACTTTGGGAGGCCGAGGCAGGTGGATCACGAGGTCAAGAGATCGAGACCGTCCTGGTCAACATGGTGAAACCCCATCTCTACTAAAAATACAAAAAATTAGCTGGGCATGGTGGCGCCTGCCTGTAATCCCAGCTACTCGGGAAGCTGAGGCAGGAGAATTGCCTGAACCCAGGAGGAGGAGGTTGCGGTGAGCTGAGATCGCGCCATTGCACTCCAGCCTGGGCAACAAGAGCGAAACTCCATCTCAAAAAAAAAAAAAAGAGAATATGTAAATAAATGAGTGTGGCTCTTGTAAACAAACTCCGTTTGCAAGAACAGACAGGAGATTCACAGATTATAGTTTGCTGAACCCTGGCATAATTCTTGAGATGTAATTATTTTAATCATTATAGTATTTCGGATTGGGTCTTAGAAGGTTACTATTTGGATAATCTGTAGTTATCCAAAGGCAAAAAAAAAAAAAAAAAATGTTGTAAATGTTCATAGTGATTTACAATCTTGAGATTGCTTTGTTTTTTAAACATCTGATGCATCTTTGTTTGTTTTTTCCTCACAAACCTGTTTGTGTGCCCCTTTCCCCCATTCTTTTCAAAGATAGAAGATTAAAGCAAGGAGTATTGGTTTATATGATTTTTAAACTTTTAAATGCCTGAAAGTAGTAATTTTTAGATGTTAATGCAGTTGTAGGTGCTTAACGTAAGGTGCATCACTTTTTGAGCCAAGTTCTAAGTGTTCCTTTGTATGTAGTACAGATTTACTGTGAAGAGTTTAGATATTGTGTTATGGAAAATAAAATTCTAGGGTTTTGCATATTTGATAGTAAATAGAAGACGTATATATTTGCTGCTGCCATCTTCTTTTTTTCATTGTATGAAAATACTGGTACTTTTTAAAAAAACCGTCGGTTATTATTCCTTAAGGGATGGGTGGGAGCATTGTCAAACAAAGGTAAAACTCTGTGTGTGTGCATGTGTGGTGTGTCTGTGCACATGTGTGTGTATGTGACTGTGCATAGCATTCACATTAAGCAGTGTTAACTTTAACCTTCCAGTTTAATAGATTTTTATAAAATCTTGTAATTCTGATCTAATATGCCTTTCGTTTTATGTCTAGGGATGATTTAGATGCCTTCAGCTTATTCTCTTTTAGTTGATTTTACGTAAAAGGGAAAAATAACTATTTAATTCTGTTTCAGGAATCATCATGTTGGTTGGCTGGTTACTGGGAAAAGATATCCTGGAAATGTTTACTATTAGTGTGAGGTAAGTTTTAATACTTTATAATTGGAGTCTCTTCTGCTGCTTTTATTTCTCTAATGGACATAGCTTACATTTTATTATGAAAGTCAGTATTATATGGAGCCTATAAGAGTATAATATCTCTACATAAATAATTGTAAAGTCATATATTAAAATTACCTCTAGAAAAATGAAAATGTATATATATGGTATTGAAGAAAACCCACACTAGATGTCTGGAATTACTAATGCATTATGGCATTTTTACATATAAATAGACAATTAAGGATTGTCAAATTGAAAACTAGCAGCATGAAAGAGAAAGTTCACAATATAGAAATTGAATAATCAATTTCAGAGGAAAGCATAACATTTAAGAAATAGAAGACAAATTTGAAAACAAAGTGGAAGAAACTGCATCCATGAGATGGATTGTTGTAGAAAAGGATCAGAGAACAAAAAAAGTTTTTAGAAATTAAGACTATGATTGCTGAAATTAAAAATTTTATTTTAGGTGTGTAATATAAACTCAAAGAGGTCTCCCCCCAAAAAGAGGAAAAAGTCTTAAACAGAATGAGAGAAAATGATAAGAATAATTTTAGGAAATACCATTTTTAACTAATTGGAGTTTCAAAAAGATGTAAGGAGAAATTACATAAGATACGACACACAAATATTTTCTCAAGCTAAGGCAAGAAGTAAGTCTTTATAGATTGAAAGTATTCACTAAATGCCAAGCTGGATGGAAAAAACTTCAACCTTGATACATAATTGTGAAACTAAAGAAAAAAAGGTCATCTACAAAGGAAGGGTAACTAGGCTGCATCAGACTTCTCATTAGCAACTGCAATTTCTGTCACAGGGTCTTCTTAGGTTCTTCTAAATATTCCAATTCACAAGACTTTCCCAGACCGCATCTGATACCTGTGTCCTAAACGCAGCAGGGTAATTACAGACAACCTTCTCCTGCGAGTCTGCAGCAATTCATGTAGCAGTTCACTCAATTACAAGGGGATAAGGTCAACCTTGTGAGTGTGGGATCTATTTGGGTTAAAAGTCTTCTGTTCTATGAGAGACATATTTTGAAACGTGTTTCCAGATGCCTGCGAGGGACATGTCTAGTTAGAAGAGATACTACACTCAAGAAACTCAAAGCTATAACTTCCTATAAGATAATATAACTGTCCTAGTTCAGAGAACTTTTATTAATCAGGGGATCCTTTAGTCATAGCAGTATTATCCAGAAGCATAGTTGACATATTATTCTTATGAGGTTACTAGGTGAATAGAACTAGAGTTAATCAAATTCAGAAGGGGAAAATTACTAACTTCATCCACAGTAATATCAGATTGCATTAGAATACAGTGGAGCAGTGGTACCAAATTATGTGGGAAATGATCATAAATTTGTAAATTAGGCCTAGACAAAGGATCAGTCCAATTAGTTACAAATAGGTCGGCGAGTACTCTTAACAATTATTTCTTCCCCCTCCTTTCTTTGTTTTAAAATGAGTAAAATGTTCATTTAACAACTTTCTAACTAGAGTTCGAAATTACACTTCTAACTGCAAGTATAAAAGAAGTTATGTTTTTCCACAGCTTTATACTTAATTAAAATTTTCAGACTTTGAATAGTTCATGTGATTTGATATGTCTGTACAGAAAGAGTAAGATAAAAACATTTAATAAGATTAAATCTAATTTACAAAAAGTGATACTTGACATTTGTTGTGTGCTCTTGGAAAGAGTACACAGGACATTTCCACAGCAATCAAAAAGGTAAAATCATTTTAAACTTAAACTTCAAGTTTTCTTTACTGTTCCTTCTAATTCTAATACCTGGAAATATATTCAGGTTTTGATTTCTAGATGTAATGTGTTTTGTTACATATACACATATTTTATCCTTAAATGTTTTTATTTTTAACCATTTAAACAGTATGATCATATCAACCATTCAGCATGATGATATAATCACAAACTCTGTAGAAGTCCTCTATGTAAGATTAACGTTGAGATTCCTAGTGCACCATCATGAAAAACCAGTTACAGATGGTATACAACTATGCTTTAGTGGGATTTCCTGTCGGTTTGAGATCATAATCATGTAAGAAAGTAGCTGTTCTTACAGGGATGGCTCCAAGGAAAAAGACTGGTTGGCACAAAATCTTGAAGCCAAAAATAGGAGATCAGTGTTGATAATATTATACATAAAGAGGTTGTAAATCCTCTAAAAATATTATCTGCATATTTAGTAACAGCAGCTATCACAAGGCCTCCAAGTGCCTGAAGAACAGCTAGTATTCAGGTCAGTTGGTTATATCCCTGAAAAAATCCATTCTTTGATACCAGTTCTCCATCATAAATGTATACACCCATTAATCCAAATATACTTCCAAAGAAACCAAGCTGAATATTTCTTATCCACACTGATTGTTTCAGATTTTCTCAAAGTAAACCCCTGCAAAGCCACTTGAGAAGCATGCTGTGAGAACAGCCACGAGCCCTACAAATTGAGAGCCAGCGCAAAATTCTTAGAATCAAGCTGAGAACCTGAGGGCCACTGTACAATAGCAACTCCTGTCATCAGAATTATTAGGGATAGTCACTGGTATACACCCAGTTTTTTACTAAGCATAGACAAAGAAAATAATGCTCTTGTAAGAATTTTCAACTGATGTGTGACCAAGGGCAACCATTTCATTTCTTTAAATTCCTGTGGCTTCTTGAGTTCCAGGTGCTGGTCAAGTGGGTCCGTGCCTATCACTCTTACCCATCCTTGTATGAATTCCGGCAAAACAAGAGTGAAAGAAAGGAAGATGATAATAGATATAACAAAGGGCAATAACTTATTTAGGCATCTAAGGAAAAGAAATCCTGGTAGACATCTGTTGTAGGCGTAGGAAATAATGTTTCAAATATTAGAACAAAAATCAATGTCTTACAAAAGGAAAAGTCAAATAGGTTACAAGGAATTGCAGAATAAATAAGAAGTAAAAAGATATTCGTGATATAGTAAAGGAGTGTATTTTTTTTCTTCAAGGGAGTGAAAATGCAATTTGAAACTCTTGGTTTAAGTTTGTATTTAAAAAAATCCATGGGTTAAATATAAAATAAAAATGGGGAATGAGTTTGAGATATTAAACATTGACATATTATCCATTGGATCAATTTTTGGCTTTTAAGGATTTGGGTTTTTTTTTTTTTTTTTAGTTCTGTTTATACAGATTGACATATCATAACTTTTATTCTTTCTTCAAGGTCTTCCAAAAAACAAGAAATTAAAAAATTTCTAAATTGAATAAAATTCATTCTGTTTTGCAGTATGGGTCCACTGGACTTGTTTATAATATAAGCTACATTATGGGACCTTTAATGAACCTATTTTTTCTCTTTCTTGAAGTATTTTACGATTATCTTCATCCTAGGAATTATTTTAACAATTACTTGCAAGAGTGCTAAAGATGACTAAAACAATAAGAAAACAGAAAAATGATGGAATCGTTGAGAGGGTTGATGTAATAATAAAATAAATTATCACTATTCTCTTACTCTTTAGTTTTCTTATTATGTTGCTCAAACTATTGCATTATTTAAGAAGTTGTAAGAGAAGTCTAAAGTCACAGTCTCTAGATTTGTTTCTTGTAGCTTTCATTGAACAAAAGTGAGAATTCAGAATTTTTCACTTTCTACAATAAAGGCAAAGAGAATAATTGACAGAGAATACTTATTGCAGTTATTAGACAAATCAGAAGATCATTGCAAGGAACCACATAGAAGCACTGTAGGCTATAATGATGTGGGTGAAATTAATCATGTAAGTGAAATCTCAAGACTGAGTCTTTGGATGATGATAATCTAGATCTTCTCAAACTCCTTAATTTTGATGAGTGAGTAGTTTCTTTCTAAGGACAAAAAAGAAACAGGTATTCTTTTCCAGTTATTTTGCAGCAAGGACTCTATCATGCAGTAGTTTTCAAGCAAGAATCTGGGACATCTCTTTTTGCTAAACGAATGTATAACCCTATTTCATTCATCTTTTGTAATACTTGTTTACCAGTATTGACTTCATATTGCTTATAAGTGGAGAAATGATGAAGGCTGGTATGAATATAAAGGTAATTAACAGGAAATAGATTATGCAGAAGTAGAAAAATTCATTGGATTCATCATTGTAATTGGTGTTTATAAATCTAAAATTGAAAATGTTTAGCAGTTATGGAACAAAGAAGATAACTTCTCCAAAACATTTGGGAGTCATCATTGTTTTTAGAAGCGTTGCAATTTGACAGAACAAATGTAAGAAAGAAGAATTAGATTGATAAGCTAGAGCCTGTTAGAAATATTTTCTTTAAATCTGAAATAAGTATTTATAAGATAAATACGTTCCAAGTTCACCAGAGACAGTGAATGAGCAGTTAGTTGCATTTTAAAGATGTTACTCATTTCAAGTATAGATACCTTGAAGTCCAGGAATAGTTTTGGGTTATCATTAAAATGAAAATTTAGAGTGAATTTTTTACAATTTATTTATTCCTCTGTAAAGTTTTGCTAATATGACTTAAATATAAAAGATTGAAAAGATGGATTGCGTCTAGATTGTAAATGATGATGCCTATTTTTCCTTAATGGAAGCATTTAAAAAAGGAAAAAAAAGAAAAAGAAAAAAGAGGATGCCCTTTGAACTAGGAACCTTTTCATTGAGAAGTCCAAAGGAGAAAAGGAAGTATTAATGATAACATACTTTTTTCTTGACTCTTCAGCAATAATATTGTTGCTCATTTGCTTTCAACTCTTCAGCAATAATATTGTTGCTCATTTGCTTTCAACTTTTAAAATCAACCAGTAAATAAAGCATGAAAAAGTCAATTACTGTAGTTGCAAAGGATCCTACTGTACTAGATTATGCAAAGAAAAAGTTGATGGCCAGGCATGGTAACTCACACCTGTAATCCCAGCGCTTTGGGAGGCCAAGGTGGGCAGATCATGAGGTCAAGAGATTGAGACCATCTTGGCCAATAAGGTGAAATCCTGTCTCTACTAAAAATACAAAACTTAGTTGGGCATGGTGGCATGCGCCTGTAGTCCCAGCTACTTGGAGGCTAAGGGAGGAGAATCACTTGAATCCGGGAGGCAGAGGTTGTAGTGAGCAGAGGTTGAGCGACTGCACTCCAGCCTGGCTACAAAGTGAGACTCTGTCTCAAAAAAAAAAAAAAAAAAAAAAAAAAATTGGTAATGAAAATTAGGAAGTAGAAGCAGCAGAGGGAACAGTGGTAGATTGAAGAGTAGGATTGCTTATGTTCTTATTTGTAGCAGAGTCAAGAGATAGTATTTGGAATGGCACAAAGAATGACTTGTTATTTTTTAATTATAAAAGGCAAGAGTGAAATAATTTTTTAAACTGTGATAAAATACACGTATAAAATTTATAGTTTTAAAGAGTTAATTTGGTGGAGTTAAGTATGGTCACAATATTTCACAACTGTTAACCACTGTCAAGATTCAGAACCTTTTCATTGTGCCAAAAGAAAACCCTGTACACATGAGGCAGTCATTCCCCAGTTCTCCTCTTCCCCTAATCCCTGGCAACTACTCACTAATCTGCTGTTTCTGTGGATTTGCTTATTCTAGATATTTCATATAAATGGAATGATATAATATGGGACTGTTTATATCTGGCTTTTTTCACTTAGCATAATATTTTCGAGGTTTATTCATGTTGTAGATGTATTAGTATTTCATTCGTTTTTGTAGCTAAAATAATACTCCATTGCATGGATGTCACAATTTTACATTATCAGTTGATGAATATTTGGCCTGTTTCCATCTTTTGGCTGTCGTGAATAGTATTGCTGTGAACATTCATGTACGAGTTTTTGTTTGAACATTTGTAGTTATCTGTATTTTATAGATGAGGACAGTAAACTACAGAGGCAAATTAGTAAGTAGCCCAGGATCACACAAGTAAGAGATGGTGAAGCCAGGGGTACAAATCCAGGCAATTTGATGTCAGAACCTGTATTTTTAATGACTGTGTTTAACCTGGCAGCTACCAGGTATCCAGTAAATGTTAATCAACTTTCTCTTCCTTTTGAGAAGTTTATTTTTTAGTTTAGTTTAAGTTTAGTTTATTGACTATGTTAATTTCGCATTTTATTAAGCTTTAAGTAACATCCAATTTAGATTGTTGCTATGAGTACTGTTTAACCTACATTTTAATACTTTGTATATATTGGTCATAGTTTGGCTGTAGCAGCGATTCCTGAAGGTCTCCCCATTGTGGTCACAGTGACACTAGCTCTTGGTGTTATGAGAATGGTGAAGAAAAGGGCCATTGTGAAAAAACTGCCTATAGTTGAAACTCTGGGTAAGTCTGTGTTAAGAGCATTCCTATGCAATGATGTGTAAGTTTATGTCAATAGTAAATCATCTCAGAGTTTTGCAGTTTTTGTCCTAGAGATTTGCATAATGATGTTTATGGCAAAATTGGATATGGTTTTAACAACTGAAAAAGTCAATTAATAATTCCTGTCCCTTAGGTGTGGGGACTTGAAATCTTTCTATATCATAGTGTTTTAATCTCAAGTCATGTTAAGAAAATCCATACAGCAACTGAAATTTTAGAGTAAAATTAATAGAAAATTTTTCTTGTCACATATCAAAGAAGATAATGTATTATTATAGATCCCAAATGTTGTACTTGAGTTGAATTTGCCTGTAAGAACAGTAAATATATAGTAGTTAAATTGCTGTAACAAAACTTCATGTGCAGTGTACTTTGAAACTCCAAAAATGTACTGAATTTGATTTCTAGGTTATATTTTAATATCTTCTCCATATATGAGAAAGTGAAATACTTTGAAAAATCCTGACTGTAGAAATTATGCGGGTTTATATTTAGGAATTCTGCAAACTTTCTAGAAAAGGTATTATTTAAAATCATTACATAAAGCTAATGTGAAGTAGCTTTGTAGAAACTAACTGTATATAAATAAGAAAATGTCAACATATAATTTTTATTTTTAATTTCAGAAAGTGTACCTTATGCTGAAGCAGGCATAATGAGAGAAGTTAATCTAAAATTACCAATGAGTTTGATCTCTATAAAATACCGAGACGTAGGACAGAATTTTTGTCTTTGATTTGCTTTTTAAGGAAACCTGTATTTCTCCTTGATTCTTTTGGTGACTTGTAATTATTTAATTCTTTAGGCTGCTGTAATGTGATTTGTTCAGATAAAACTGGGACACTGACGAAGAATGAAATGACTGTTACTCACATATTTACTTCAGATGGCCTGCATGCTGAGGTACTTTATAGGTTTTTAAAAACGAAAAAGCAAAAACAGTATGCCTTTAAGAAACACGATGTTTAACATTCCAGGCAGTTCCAGTATCTTACCTTCAAAAGGGCTGTAAATTAGTAGTGGAGTTATTTTCACTCTCTGATTCTACCAAGTCTTTGTCTCATTCCGCTTGTACACTTGTTCAATCCAAAAACTTTGATTCCTCCTTGACATCTCTCTTTCAGTCACCCCTTCATTCATCCATAATCAAATCCTGCCTATTTTGACTTCTTAAAGAATTTTCCCAGCCATCTACTTTATAGCAAGCTTCTTTAAGTTACTGTCATTTCTCACCTGCCATTTTGATAAAGCTTCTTGCCTGGTCTTTATCTGTTCTTGCTACCCTCACTCCATAAGCAGCTTGAGAGATCTTTTCAGAACCAAATTTTAAGCATGTCACTCCATAAATTAAGGTACTCCAATGGTTTTCCATTGTGATCAGGATTCTAAACTGTTGCCCCTCAAAGCTGTACATGTTCTGTCCCTTATTTTCCCCTCTATCCTTGTATGCTACCCTTTGCTTTCTGTGCACCAAGTATACTGGCTTTATAGTTCTTTCCATGTGACAAAATTATTCCTACTTTAGGAACTTTGCTGCTTTTCTCACTGCTTAGGATAGCCTAATGCCTCTTCATCTTTTGCACCTCAATTCCAGGACACTTCTTCAGAACACCCAGAAGTAGCCCTATGTAATGTGTTTTCTTAGCATTTTATATCTCTTAGTCCTTATCATAGGTAAAATTTTCTGTCCCTTTTCCCCATTATAAATTAAAGAGCAACTATATTGCCTAGCACAGGGTCTGCTTCATAGTAATAAATACTTGATAAATGACTAAATGAATCATATTATTTTAGCAATTATACATTGATACGTTGATAGTCTCTTAAGTGCGCATCACTGTACAGTAGTCTTCCTGAAGCTGGTTATGGACAAGTTCTAATCCTACTCAGGATTTTTGACTGGAATGCTCTTAACACTGCTTATGTTGGGTACAGTAATTTAAAATGTATTTATCGCTAATTCACTGAGAAAAGTAAGCTTTAGACAAATTGACAGAAGTTGCACTTGGGTTTATTTACATCCATTTTACATAGGTTTTGAAAAGAGATGATATTTACAGTATTAGATTTGGTCAAAGATAACCCATCTATGGTGGTAAATGTGCCCTTTCTGAATGATTCAGAAGGGTTATTGGGATTATGTGTGTTTATATGTTCCAGGTATGGAAAGTAGAATATTAGTTGTTCTTTTGTTCTCAGGTCATGTTATATGTAATGCGTTAACTGTTTGTTAATGTTTTATCTCTAAATTGTATCATTAAACTTTTTTTATTTTTAATAGAGTTGGGTTTTGCTTTGTTGCGCAGGCTGCTCTTGAACTCCTGGGCTAAAGTGATTCTCCCACCCCAGTTTCCCAAAGTGATTCTCCCACCCCAGTTTCCCAAGGTGTGAGCCACCACACCTGGCCGCTAAACTGTATGGTTTTTACTGTGAAATTTCCTTTTGTTCAGCTTGGTTTGTTCTAGACATATGATATATCCGGTTTGTCTCTGCCCTGATTTTTAAAATTGGTGTGTAATATGCAATGTTAAAGTAATTTGTAAGTGCTAATGTATATCTCAATGTCTGCAAGCCTGCATGTTTGTAAAAAGAAAACTGCTTTTGTCTATCTAGGTCACATGTTTGTGTTATATGTTACATGGTAATAGATTTGAGTTCTTTGCAAACTGTAGTATGCTATGTAAATGTGATGTCATATACGTTTAAGCTTACTTACGTATATTTTCATAGCTTATTCTTTGAATAGTATATTGTAAATAGAAAATGTCTTTTTAATCATTGTGATGAGAATTAGAATCTTTATTTCTCTACTAAATGTCCTTTTTTAAGACAAATTTTAATGCTTTTCTAGATAAACACTTTAACAGTGTCATTATAAATAAAATGAACAGAACTCATGATAGTTTTGGGGTTTTATAGTTCTTGTCACCACCTAATTAATGTTTGTATTATTGATCCCACTTCATGATCTTTAGGTTACTGGAGTTGGCTATAATCAGTTTGGGGAAGTGATTGTTGATGGTGATGTTGTACATGGATTCTACAACCCAGCTGTTAGCAGAATTGTTGAGGTAAATACTTTTTTTTTCCTCAAGAAGGTGACTTTCTTTATAATAACTTAAGATACGGTAATAGGTTCATAATTTATGTGTATTTTTCTTAGGCGGGCTGTGTGTGCAATGATGCTGTAATTAGAAACAATACTCTAATGGGGAAGCCAACAGAAGGGGCCTTAATTGCTCTTGCAATGAAGGTACGTACCTAAATCTCTTCTTTGACATGTGAGACATTACGCTCACAACAGAACACAATGTCATCAATTTCAGTATTACTAGTTTTTAGGTATTAAGTGAAAAAAACTCATAATATTTCATCGTTTTTATTCTCTTGTGGGTACCAGTTTTATTCCTATATATATAAAGCATAGAGCTATTTTAGTATAACCTTATTGTTTATATGCAAGCTACAAACTAATGAGCAGTCATTGATTTCTTAGGAAGAAGTATTCCTGTCTTCCACAGTACCTGACATCTACATGTGAAATACTTTATAAATGTGTAATTACTGATAAATACTGACTTTTGAATGAATAAAAGGCAACATTCTTCAGTATTTCTATGTAAAGATAATAACACAGTCATGGGAAAATAGCTTTTCTTTCCTTTTTCTCCTTTGTTAATTTCTCAAAATGATTGTAAAGTTATAATTTATTTTGGGGAGAAGTCTCAGTTAACTTTTCATCTGTCCCAATCTGTCTTCTTATCACCTAAGTCTTACATTTGATTCAGTGAGAAACCTGTTAAGTTCAGCCTATCATTCATAAGGAAAATAACTATTCCTGCTTTTAAGAATATTCAGAGAAAATCTTGATAGTTATGTAAAGCAAAAGGCTTCTAATGAGGTTACTTGAAATGAGAGACAGTATAGAATTACAGGTTATTATAACACAGTTAATGAAATAAAATTGATAGTTTTAGAATATATAGTTTTCTTGAACGAAAAGCAAATTGCTGTATCATTTGGTCTCATTACAACTAAAATAGCATAGTACTCAATAAATGAATCAGTTATCAAGTATTTCCTGTATTATGCTTATAAGATACTAGTTTCTTTGAGAGATAAAGAATATGAAACCATCTTTTATGGGCAGAGACCTCATATTTTAGGTAGGGAATTTATAGTGACATTCTTGAAACAAAGGCAGTCCAAGACAGCAGACAGTGAAATCTGAACATTGAGTCACATGTAAGAACAATGCAGATTCAGAGCTGGGATATGAGGGCTTGAAGGATAGGAAGGATTTAGATGAGGTAAGCTAGGGAATCAACTAAAGTAGAAGCAGAGAGGAATAAAAGAGCATAAAACGGATTGTGGCTAATGAGTTGGCTAACCTGGGTGAAATGAAAGATACTTGAGCGACCAGGAGGATTTTTATAGATGCTGTACGTTGTGGGTTTCTGGAGAACCATATTTAAGGCCAAGACAAGAGTCTGAACATGTTTCAATAGAAAATAGCAATACATGGTAGCATTTTGAGTAGTTTAAACACTTTTTGATATTTGGAAGATAATTTTTTGGCATTTTTGATATTTGGATGTTTGATATGGAAGCAAAGGTTATTGGGAGGGAAAATAGCTACATGACTAGTAGTATTCAGGACATAAAGTGGTAGAGGGTAAGGGACTAGGATGATAACAAGTGAGACATTGGAGTTCCTAAGAAGTAAGAGATTTCATCTAAAACTTATATTGATTGTAAAAATACATGCTCAAAATTGGATGGGTACTTTTATTTATATCCTGCTTCCTTTCAGAATTTGAGCTGGTAGAGGGATTAATACAGTGGGCGTGGGAGGTTTAGTTAGCATACAGTCCAGAAAACCTGCTTTAGACTATACTACGTACGTGAAATTCCATGTTGAAAATGTATGCTGATATGTAGGGAAGTTTAGTATATATAGATGGAGCACTTATTCTTTCACTGTTAACTGAAAAATAATCCAACCAACCTGGCTATAAGTTGGGACCCTTGTTTTTTGTTAGAGGAAAATATAATCAGATATTGGTGAGAATTAACTTTCTTTTTGTGCCATATAGATGGGTCTCGATGGACTTCAACAAGACTACATCAGAAAAGCTGAATACCCTTTTAGCTCTGAGCAAAAGTGGATGGCTGTTAAATGTGTACACCGAACGCAGCAGGTATCCATCTGTTTAGAGAGTGCTTATATTCTGTTTAGCTTAGACGACTGTTTTTTTCATTTACCGTCCACCTTTGGGTTTAAACAGTCAGTGTACATAATAAAGACTTAACTGCTTTAAAGTATGTGTAATTAATAGTACACTCATCTCTTGTTTGTGTTATCTTTGATAGTCTTTCCTTGTAGAATCCGTACATAGATATATTCATGGAGTTGTTGCTGTGTGAGCAAACAGCTGAAATGAGTTGTAGCCTGGTCTCCTAAAGCCTGTGACATCAGGTTTTTTCTTATCAGGAACTGTTCTTCATGATAGATAGTTCTTTATAAGGTCTTTGCAGATTGTGTCTCAAAATGTGTTCTTTCACAGAAGGAACGTCTTATCTTCAGAACAAAGGAAACCCCTTTACTTTGTTGAAAAGTAGTTTGCAAATGTATGTAATTTACCGTCCACCTTTGGGTTTAAAAACCCAAACTGTTGCTCACTCCATTTTACAAGCTGACAAAATGACATGCTGATATTTTAAACTGCCACCCTGTTCCTGGGTGCTTTAGACATTTTTCCAGTGTAATAAGATTTCTGAATTATCTGTGGCATATAATTATATCACTCATAGTTGCTATTACCAGTTTGATGCTTAAACTTTAAAAAATATTTAAGGTTAAGCTTAGGTGCAGTGGCTCATGCCTATAAACTCAGCACTTTGGGAGGCCAGTGGATCACCTGAGGTCAGAAGTTTGAGACCAGCCTGACCAATATGGTGAAACATTATCCGGGTGTGGTGGTGTGAGCCTATAGTTCCAGCTACTTGGGAGGCTGAGACAGGAGAATTGCTTGAACCTGGGAGGCAGAGGTTGCTGTGAGCCAAGGTTGTGCCACTGCACTCCAGCCTGGGTGACAGAGTGAGACTTTATCTCAAAATAATAATAATTATTATTATTATTATTATTGAACCTTAAACTTTTCCTCACTCTGTTGTCTAGGCTGAATTCAGTGGTATGATCTTGGCTCACCACAACCTCAGCCCGGGTGCAAGTGATCCTCCCACTTCAGCCTCCCAAGAAGCTGGGACTATAAATACATGCCACCATACCTGGCTAATTTTGCTTATTTTTTGTAGAGATGGGGTCTCATTATGTTGCCCAGGCTGGTCTTGAACCCCTGGACTCAGGTGATCCTCCTGCCTTGGGCCTCTAGAGTGCTGGGATTACAGGCATGGGCCACCACACCTGGCCTTATTTGTTATTTTTACGGTTCCTTTGATAGTAATGACTAGTTGGTTATATGTTTTTTAACCTATAAGCAAACACATGATTTTTGCACATGATACCTATGATTACATCTCTATAGAAAACAGGAATGAAAGATCTCCCTTCATTCATATAAGTGGAAACATACTGGCTTTAAAAGAAAGGCCAGGTTGGTTAACACTGAACTTTGAGTAGAAGTCTTCCAGGAACTATGTTCATGAGGGCGAAAAAAAGATTTGTTTGTTCTTTAAAGGAACTTATACAAACTTAGGTGAAGGAAGACAATTGGAAAAGAAATTATGAAAATAAAATGCCTTTCACTTGAAACCTGTTAATGTAAAGCTTTCAAAAATTACATTAAGCTTAGGTAGTTTTCAACTGTTGTTTCTTAACCATATAGTTATGTGGCGAGAATATGCATTTGACTTTTTTTTTGATAGGTCTCTTTCACTACATTTTGTAAACCATCACACAATACTTCAAGATAGTGTGGCTCATGTAATGTTTAATAATTTTCCTTTTCAGCAACTTTGAATGTTAACCTCACCAGAGTTTTACATTGGAAGATTAAATCTTCTCAGTTGTGGGAGTGATGGACAGAGAGTGGCAGGACATAAGTTAGGAAACATTTGGTTATTCTTCTCATTTGCTGACCTGAAGAGTATCTTTTGCAAAACAAAACCAACCAATGAAATGAACAAACAAAACCTCAATCACAGATGTGACTCAGGATCTAGAAGAAGTCAGCCTGACACAGATAGGGGAAACTTACCAATTTAAAAGTAACTTCAGTGGCTCAAATAGTTTGCTTTAAAGGACTGTCAGTTGTTAACATGACAATATATGTTTATCTCTACTATCTCCCTGGAACCACCAAAATCACAAACAAGGAATAAAAGATGCAAACTCATCAAGAGAAAGTATAGGGAAGATTAAAAGGTGACAGGTACCTTTGAAGGCAGGGAATAAGGCATAAGGCTAAAAATCATAGAGAAGTTTGAAATTCTGAATAAGGAACCAGCAGAACTCCCCCAAGTACCTTCGCTTCTGCTTTAGGCCAGATGGTTAGCCTTCCTTTACCCCTGTGGAACACCAGAAATCTGGGAATAAGAGTAGAGGGCAGGATTAAGGCTTAAGACTGAAAACAGAGTGATTAAGAAGTTGTCATCGTCCTGAAGGATAAAACCCTAGTCCTTAACACCACTTGTCACTTAGAATGCATGAAGTCTGGCATCTACCTACCCTCATTCCCTAAATAAGATTCAAGAGTTTTACAAAACTGCCTGGTCTTGTAAGGCAGCAGTCCCCAGCCTTTTTTGGGGGTTCCAGGGACCGGTTTTCTGGAACATTTCCACAGGTAGGGGATGGTATTGGGATGACGGTGGTCCACCTCAGATCCTCAGGCATTAGATTCTCATAAGGAGCACACAAACTAGATCCCTTGCATGTCATGTGAAGTTCCCAATAGGGTTCACACTCCTATGAGAATCTAATGTCCTGGCTGACCTGACAGGATAGATGGAGCTCAGGCAGTAGTGCTCACTTGCCTGCAGCTCACTTCTGCTCTGTGGCTGGGTTCCTAACATGCCACGGACTGTATTGGTCCACTGCCTTGGAGTTCGGGACACCTGTCATAAGGGGCACCTCTGAACTAAGCTCTTTGTTCATTGGAATCACTTACCTACTCCTGGACTTCATCTCATCATCCTATGGCAAGGCTTACCAGTTGATGCTTAGCTCTACCAGTGGCTGTGGAGCTTCTAGTCTTTTGATTACTTCACTCTTAAATACAAATGAACAGGGAAGGATTACTAGATACTTGGAGAAAATCTTTAGTCTGAAAGCCAAAGATTAAACCAACGGAAAAAGGGGTCTCAGAGAAAGGTAATAGCAGATGCTGAAGAAAATTTCCAAAAACCATAAAAAAGACAGAATACTTGTAATGGAATGTTTATCAAATAAAGTCAAAAAATGTATCAAAGTAGAACAGAAAGTCAAAGAGGTGTATAGTATAAAAGATAAGATAATTCAAAATAAATACAGAAGATGCAGTAATTACCACATAGTGGTAATAGGAAGGTAATAGGAATAGGTAATAGGAAGAAAGAACAGAAAATAAGAAGCTTTTATCAACTAATGCTGGAAAATTCTCCAGAATGAAAAGACTGGCATCTAAAATAATGTGGCCCACCAGCTGCTCAGCACAATATGTGTGTGAAAGCGGGTAGAGTGGGGGATAAACACAAGACCCATAATTAAGAAAGTTGAGGACACTTGGAGAATTTGAAGAGCTTCTAGAGAGTTTTAAGCAAAGGGGAGATCATATAAAAGGACTTAGGAACTAAAGTATGGTAGTCTAACACTTAGCCCAGCAGAATACACTCCCAAGACTCCTAGTGGATGCCTGAAACCATGAATAACGTTGACCCTCATATATGTTATATTTTGCTGAACTGGTAACATAGATGGCTACCAAGCAATTAATGGGCACGAAGCATATACAGTGTGGATATTCTGGACAAAGGGATGATGTCCTGGGCTAGACAAAGTGGCATTTCATTGCCATACTCAGAATGCTGTATAATTGGAAACTTATGAATTATTTCGTTTTGGAATTTTGTATTTAATATTTTTGGACTGCTGCTAGGTAACAGAATCTGCAGGAAATGAAACCCTGGATAAGGGGCACTACTATAATTTTTTTATACTTTTCAATGAAAACATTGACACTGGAAGCTGGAAGATAATAGAGCAAAGCCTTCAAAATGAGAGGAAATTTATCCCTGGCTAAACTTACAAATGTGAGGATAGAAGAAGTCCCAACACCACCCACCCTCTCTTAGAAAGATATTGGTGGATAACAAAAACAAAAGGAAGACTTAAAATTTGGTGAGGATAGAGGTAGAGGGATGTTCCTAGATATTAGTGGTGTAGCAGGCCTAGAAATCAGCCAATTAGAAATGGAAAGAAGAGTGAAGGAGAACAGTCTCCAGTAATATATAGAGGTAATATCTTATCTGCGTCTTTGTTCATGTGAAAAAATACCATCAGGAGGGTTTTATATTACTTTGAAGAGTTTAGGAAGAATGAGTAACAGGTATAAAGAAAACAAAGCAAATTTTTTTAAAAGGTGGTTATTAACTTTATAAAAGACAAAACTTGAACAGGAAAAGAAGTACCCTATTTGAGATATCAATCAGGATAAGCCATGAAAACAACATCATGCTCTCCTCCTGCCTCCCTCTCCCCAAATACTGTTCATTGTAGTTACTTGAGAACTCAGGCAGATGAAAGCTCCATTTTAATCTGAGCACACACTGTCACAGCAAGGGTAGAAAAATAGGAAATTGTACACTGGCACCTACATTTCCATTTGGAATTGACACAAGTACTCATGTTTGTTGGCCAAAGCAAGTCATGCCTGACTTTTGGAGTGAGGAAGGTAATAGGGAAATACATTCCTACCTGCAGGGAGAACTGGGATATTACCAGTCATTACCACACTTGGCTTGGCAACAGGGAGTCTTGATGTAAACAAAATAATGGCAGATTTTGCTTTAACTATATCATAAAGATGGGGAGGGGGAGAATAGTTAGTGGGAATGGCAAAATTAATATCTGTCACAGTAGACAATGTATAAAATTGATAACTGAAGGAGTGGCAGTATTAACATGTTAAAAACATGAGGGTAAATATCAGAGAAAACAGCTATTTTGCTTCCATGGAGTAGGACTAGTGGTGAGAAGGGCTGGATAGGAAGCTCCACTATTTAATTACAAGCTTTTGAATATTATTTACCATGATAAAAAAAAAAGAAAAAGTCTGATAATATCCATAATTACAAGGTGATTGGGAGAATTGAATGGGATTCTAAGTAGAGAGAGAGAGATGTATATATTAGCTAATAGAGAACTTGAACTATTGTGAGCTGTTATCTCTCTTTCATTTCCTGTTATGTTACAGTGAGCCTCCTTCCACATTTCAGAGTGCCTAATTTAGAGGCCTAGTATAGCATTCATTGCTTTCAATGTGTGGGATGGTGGGGATAGATGTTTTCTGTAAAAGATACAGAAAGCGCTCATATAGGACTATTTAATCTGCAGAGTTCAAGTGCCAAAGCTTTAGGTTTGAGTAACTTCTCTGGAAATTGTGAGAAATGAATGCCACTTAATTTTGAACTCCAATGGGAGATATGTACAAGTTGAAATTAAACTTGTATTTGGTACATTTTCTTCTTAGGACAGACCAGAGATTTGTTTTATGAAAGGTGCTTACGAGCAGGTAATTAAGTACTGTACTACATACCAAAGCAAAGGGCAGACCTTGACACTTACTCAGCAGCAGAGAGATGTGTACCAACAAGAGAAGGCACGCATGGGCTCAGCAGGACTCAGAGGTAAGGCTGTTTCTGCATAGTCCCCTGGGGTGGAAAGGTAGAGTCTTCTTTTAATTGTAGATGATTCATGTTTCACATCTGAGTTGTCCAACTATCTTCTAGGCTTTGTAGAACCCTTGCCAGTATTAAGGTGTTACGTTTTAGTTGGCTAATTGGCCACCAAAGATACCTTGAAAATGTAGCAAAATGGGCCGGGCGCGGCAGCCCACGCCTGTAATCCCAGCACTTTGGGAGGCCGAGGCGGGTGGATCACGAGGTCAAGAGATCGAGACTATCCTGGTCAGCATGATGAAACCCTGTCTCTACTAAAAATACAAAAAATTAGCTGGGCATGGTGGCACGTGCCTGTAATCCCAGCTACTCGGGAGGCTGAGGCAGACGAATTGCGTGAACCCGGGAGGTGGAGGTTGCAGTGAGCCGAGGTTGTGCCATTGCACTCCAGCCTGGGTAACAAGAGCGAAACTCCGTCTCAAAAAATATATATATAGCGAAATGTGAATCATTGGTTCTTCTAGATCTCCAGAGGTCTCTGATTAGCTGATAGAAATTTTATTTTTAACAAGTTTGTCTTGTGAGAAAGGAAATGGATCAAGGTAAAATGATGTTACTCTCTTTTCTTCACTTTGTCTTATTTATTATAACTAAAATACTTTGCTAAAAATTGAGTCTGAAGCCACTAATACATCCTTTAAGGTGTTGCTAACTTGATCTGTTACTGTTCACCAGGGAGGTAAGTCCCCAGTTATTGCTTACGTATATGCTGCTGACTGAGCAGTGATGGGGAGAGGGTCTGCTGAACACACACATCAGGCCACCTTTCCTAGGGATGTCGTGTGTAAGACATGGGGGTTGCTGGTTGGTGTGCTAACCTGATTCTTACCTTCTGGATAGTCATCTGGCTTCTGCAGAATATATGTGGTTATGTTGTCTCTTAGAGCAATTGGAAGAGTTGGCTTCACTAATTTTATCTTTTTAATGAAATAGAAGTCTAAGCACTGCAATTTCTGGGAGGAAGAAAAACAAGTTATGTGAAAAATGTTTTTATTTGTGGTTCACTTAAGCAGAGTTTTTTTTTTTTTTTTTTTTTTTTTTTTAGTTTTAAACATTTGGGTAGATTTATAGGACTTGTGTTCTTAAAATAAACTAAGTTAGGAAAGGTACTCTTACCAGCAGAGAACACTGCTCTCAGCCTGCTGCTATTGCTTTATGCTCTTGCCTCTGAATCTTCTTTGCCAGCCCCCAGGCTGCTGAACCAAGATCACTTGTCATACCCCTGCACCCAGAGCTTGGTGCATCTCATCTGCAATGAGGGCTGTATTGTGACCATCTTAACACTTCATCCCCTGTTTCCAAGGAAATGGGAGGCAGAGACTTCTGGCTGAAAAGTTATTTTGAAATGGATATTTTGGATGGAAAAAAGTTTAAACGAAAACAACTTTTCCTTCCCCCTTTCCTCTTTTAATGTAAGAGGCTTTGATGGCAGGTTCTAGAGTTTCTGGGGTCAAAAGCCTAGAGTTTCCTTTATCTCAAAAGCCTGAATCTGGAACGTACTCTGGATCGTCAGTCCTCAGGCTTTCTGGACTCCTGAAGCCAAGGCTCTTTCTCCTAGCAACAATTCTGGGGCAGGAACCTATTTTCTGGTTTAGCTTGGCCAGACCTAAGAAAAGCAGGATCTCTGAAACCACAGGGTTTTGATATGTTTTTTATCAAGCCAAATGTACATATCCTAACTGACATTCTGGAGAATTGAGCACAGGGGGTACCCTTGTACTTTGTACCCCCAATCCTTCTGAACACCAGCAGACCAAACTTTTTGGTGGCCCAGCTGCTGGAAGCTCAGATACTCTGGCTCCGGGTAACACTTTTGCTCCCCTTAATGCTCCTCAATTTTTCGCTTCAGCTAGGGAAAGAGAATGACAGTTAAGGGTTGGCCCAGGATTACAATCATGGGAGCAAATTACAATCATTGGAGACTTAAGAGACACTGCAGGGAGGCCTTGAAGCCACAAAATAGGGTTTTGATTACTAAAGCCTGTGTATGAAGGGGCAGTGGCAGCTCCACTGAGCCATTCCTGGGCCTGTTATTCCCCTGATTTACCTTTCTTGATTGCTGACATCTGGGGCTTTGACCCTTTCTTTTTAAATTGACTTTTGCTAAGATGTACTTATTTATTTATTTATTTGTTTATGAGACTGAGTCTTGCTCTGTCACCCAGGCTGGAGTGAAGTGGCATGATTTCAGCTCACTGCAACCTCCGCCTCCCAGATTCAAACAATTCTTCTGCCTCAGCTTCCCGAGTAGCTGGGGTTACAGGTGTGTGCCCCCATGCCCAGCTAATTTTTTGTATTTTTAGTAGAGATGGGGTTTCACCATGTTGGCCAGGCTGGTCTTGAATTCCTGACCTCTGATCCACCCACCTCAGCCTCCCCAAGTGTTGGTATTACAGGGGTGAGCCACAGCGCCCAGCCTATTTATTTTTTAAAAAGACAGTTGGTGGACAAAATGTAAACCCATTTCCCCCCTCTTTTGAACTTCTGGGACGTCATCACTTCCAGTTTGTTGGCTTTGTTTCCAGCTATTAATAAAGTATTAAAACTGGAGAAAAAAAGGTAGGGAAATGGGAGAGGGGCATATTTTTGCTACTCTTAGCAGCACATAGCAAGAGGTTTTAAAGTTGGTGTAGATTTAGAGGACTTGAAGAAGTCTTGAAGGTCTGGTATATGCTCCCTCTTTTTCTTAATTTCTGGAACAAAGTTTTCATACCTCATTATATTGACTCTTCATACAAAAGATTGTGGAGGTTTGTATATGTGTGTTTTGTATTGTAACATTATGAAGTAGACCAGGGTTGATAGAGGGGAACGTTTTTGTTGCACAGGGTTTTGGGAAACATTCTGCTCTTTGTCTCTTGCTTCATGTCTTGTCTTTTTTCTCTCCTTGTGCTCCATTTCCCTCCTCCCCCTGAGATTACCATAATGAAGAACAGAAAGATTTTAAACTTCAGTCGATATGTACTTATGTTACATCCTATAAAACTTAAGTTTCTTAAAATATTTGTGGTTCTTAATTTTGATATTACAGTTTATTTTGTTTTACGTCAGGGGCTCTCCACATGAAAAAAGTTTACCTATCCTCGACACAGAGAGTAGCAGCAGATTTTCATTGATGCTAAAGAAACAAATAAATAGAGGATACTAACCTCTAAGCTAGTGCCACCCCTCCATTAGGAGTGCACGGAGCTGATCTTTCTGTCTTAGGATTTGCTGACCTACATTTTTGTCACTGTTACCTTTTTTTACCATCAGCCTGCGTCCCAACACCGAACTGTGAAGTGGTTCATTCTCTCAAGGGTGAAAGCCTTTAGGGCCCACATCTACATAAATCATTAGGTATATGAATCTTACATTGGAAAAATAGAATTATTTGTCTTTAACCTTGATTTTTTGAGGTATATCTAATCTTTCATACCTTCTGCTTGAACAAGAATAGGTTCTTTCTTTGGTCTTCCTGGGGCTTTTCAGTCTCCCCTTGGCTTATTTCTGTTTAGTTTGTATGTGTACGTTGTAGGTTGTTCAGCCTAATAATATCTGAGATGCAGGTGCATCCCTTTGGTTAATAAAAGTAGATACCGGAGTTCCATAATTCTGAGAGCAAGCTGAATGATATTTGGGAATTGAAAAGTACCTTGTACTGTATCTTACATGCCCAAGGATGATACGTAGAAATGATAATATGATGGTGTTATTTACATGCTTTTAGAGAGCCAAAGTTACAAGTAAGAAATGTCTGTTCATGTTATGGATAGAGTAAAAGAATCCAAACTATTGTTGGTATTAATGGTTTTACAACTGCTTTCCAAATTAAATTTACCTTCTAGGAGTTTTGTGTGCAAAATTGTTACAGGCTGTGTATAATTAATTAATATAGCCTTCTATTCAGAGTGTTGAATTTTTCTAGAGATCTTAGAAATGGAAGGATGAAGATGCATTAGAAGTCACCTTCAAAGGTGTTTGTTTAAAATTGATTTTAAAGCTTGACAAACTCAGTTTCTCTAAATCCATTTTCTAAAGAGGCAGTAGATCCTGTTGAAAGTAGCTGCATGTGGTTACTATGTGAAATACTGTTCATTTTCCGTCTCTTGCCTATCCTGCCCTTCAGTTCTCTTCAGTTTTATTCTTTTTAATTAAAACAGCTGAAGGGGACCCCATATCCAAAACCATTAAACTATAATGTTTTGGTCTGTAGTCATTTCGATTTTTAAAGAATGTAGAATAACTATAAATGACATTATAGTCTTAAGTGATTTATTTAAGAACTGGTACTGTCTCCAATTTCTGTCAACTAAATTCTAATGTTTTTATGACTCACTTTTTTTTTGTTGTTGTTATTTCTTAAGTTCTTGCTTTGGCTTCTGGTCCTGAACTGGGACAGCTGACATTTCTTGGCTTGGTGGGAATCATTGATCCACCTAGAACTGGTGTAAAAGAAGCTGTTACAACACTCATTGCCTCAGGAGTATCAATAAAAATGATTACTGGAGATTCACAGGAGACTGCAGTTGCAATTGGTATAACTAGACTGCTTCCTTTTCTTTTCAGTAGTTTTTTGTAAAATACTTCAATGCATAATTATGTGAACTATTAGACGTTAATATGTTTATGTAATATTGAGATTATACAATTGAAATCAATTCATGTTTTTGCTCTTGGTCTATATAAAGCTGTTGGCAAAATTGATTATAGTTTAAAAATAGTAACATTGACAGACGTAACTAAATCATTATGAAATCGCATATGCTTTATTCACAGAAGGGTAATTATTTTGAGTTATTGATCACTGTGATAACATGTAAAAGCACTAGATCATGATTGTGAAAGGAAATGTGAAACTTAGTTTTTCCTTTCAACTTAAGTATAATTTCAAAGCATAATTTAGAGGAAAATAGCTTGTGATATATATTTGTTTTTCATCACATAGACCTATGTTTGAATGCTTTTTTATTTTATTTATTTATTATTTCGAGTTGAAGTCTCACTCTGTTGCCCAAGCTGGAGTGCATTGGCACGATCTTGGCTCACGGCATCCTATACCTCCCGGGTTCAAGTGATTATCCTGTCTCAGCCTCCTGAGTAGCTGGGACTACAGGCACATGCCACTGTGCCCGGCTAATTTTTGTATTTTTAGTAGAAACGGGTTTCACTGTTTTACCAGGCTGGGCTTGAACTCCTGACTTCGTGATCTGCCCGCCTCGTCCTCTTAGTATGCTGGGATTACAGGTGTGAGCCACCATGCCCAGCTGTTTGAATGCTATTTAAGAGTACCTTAAGAAGTACAGTAAGAGAGAAAAAGAGAATGAAAGTTAATTTTCCAGAGCCTCTAAACTATAATTCATGCTGATAAATTTAATAGCTGGCTAAACTCCATTAATTCTTATTTTATTTGGAGAGAGGCTAGGCCAGGAGTTTGAAACTCCATATTTTCTAAGAATAGGTCACTAGACACATGATATTACTGGAAAAATGACTTTTCAATGTTTATTTTCATTTATGTATAACTGCATGATTACCACAGATCCACCACCATTTTGTCTGCATTCTTAAAATGCACTCTGATCTTCATTACATTTGAGCTGCTGAGCAGAACCTGATTGGCCTAGTTTCAATTCTTAGGTGTGCTGGCTTAAATAGTGAAATTTTTGTTGTTGTTGTTGAGAGAGGGTCTTGCTATATTGCCCAGGTTGGTCTTGAACTCCTGGGCTCAAGCGATCCTCCAGTCCCAAAGTGCTGGGATTACAAGCCTGAGCCACCATGGCCAGCATTGAAAATTCTTTATTCTTAAATTTAAACAAAAATAAAAGTCAAACGTAGAACCCCAGGCTTAATACTGATTCAGATAGAGTTGTATTACTAGTAGTTAAAAGAAGAGAATAGATAACAAATTATACTAGGTGAGAATTATGTTGACTAGCCCATCAAGCAAAACAATTGGTTTATTACATTTTCTCTCATTCACTTTAGCTAGTCGTCTGGGATTGTATTCCAAAACTTCCCAGTCAGTCTCAGGAGAAGAAATAGATGGAATGGATGTCCAGCAGCTTTCACAAATAGTACCAAAGGTAGGCCTAAACTAAAGCCTTTTAGACTGAAAGGGCTCATTCTAAGTGTTACCATTTCTACTATTATCTTAATGAACCTGTTTAATTGTGAACATCACCACCAGATTTGTTGGTTCAAATCCTGAAATGAAGTCTTGTCATTGAAATAGTCTTATTTATGCTGTGATGTTTATGAATATCAGTGCAAAATTATTAACTTTAGGTACTGTGGAAATTAACAGTGCTTGTATTTATAAATTAGAGGATGGAGAGAGGTCATTATACGTCTTACTCTTTTGTTCTATTTTAATTTTAGCATGAGTGTGTAATTTTTTTTGAGGTACAATTTACATATAGCAAAATTCACCCATTTTAGTATATAGTTCTGAGCACTGACAGATGCATGCAGTCTTATAACCACCACCACAGTCAAGATACAGAACAGTTCCATCATCCCCCCAAATTATCTTATGTTTTTTGTGGTTACCTGCAGGACTTAGCAGCCACTAATTCGTTTTTTGTCTCTGTCACTTTACCTTTTCTAGAATGCACTAAAAATTGAATTATACCATACGAGTGAGGCTTTTGAATCTGCTTCTTTCACTTAGCATAATGCATTTGAGATTTATCCATGTTGGTTATATGTATTAGTAGTTTGTTGTTTTTTAAAGTATATTCTACTATATGGGTGTACCTTACCTATTCACCAGTTTAAGGACATTTGGATTGTTTCCAGTTTTTGATTATTATGAATTAAGCTACTGCTACATTTCTGCACAGGTTTTTGCATGAAAATAAATTTTCATTTCTCTTGGGTAAATACCTATGAGTAATTGCTGGGTTATATACTTAATGTATATTTAATTTCATAAGAAACTGGCAAGTTGTTTTACAAGATGGCTTTATTATTCTGCATCTCCATGAGCAGTACCTGAAGTTTCTAATATTCTTGCATCCTCCCTAGCACAAGGGATTGTCATTGCCCTCATCCCCCATTCCAGTAAGTCTACAATGGTATCTTACTGTGATTTTAATGTGCATTTCCTCACAACTAGTGATGTTGAGTATCTTTTCATATATTTATTTGCCATCCATATATCTTCTTTAGTGAAGTGTCTGCCCTGCCTGTTTTTTTTAAATTATGTTTTCTGATTATTGAATTTTGAGAGTTCTTTATATAATGTGGATACAAGTCCCTTATTAGATATTTTCTTTGAAAATGTTTCTTTCCAGTTGGTAGAATGTCTTTTTATTCTCTTAATGTTACATTTCTAAGAGGGGAAGTTTTAAATTTTGATTAGGTCTAGTTTTTCAATTTATTCTTTTATGGACTATGCTTTTGATATCTAAGAACTCCCTGCCTAACCCAGGTTCACAAAGATTTTCTTCCTTGTTTTCTTATAGAAGTCTTATAGTTTTAGGTTTTACACCTGGGTCTGTGATCCATTTGAGTGTATTTTTGTGTATGTTGTAATGGGTTAAGGTTTATTTCTTTGCATATAGATGTTCAATTATTCCAGCAACATTTGTTGAAAAGATAACCATTTTCCATTGAAATACTTTTTTACTTTTGATTATAAAGCTTTTCAAACAAATTATTTGTAGGAAGAGAGGTATCACCTGCCCCAAAACCAAGTAGCTTCTTTAGAGCTGATTTGTGGGGACACAGGTCCCATAGGAAGTACTTCATAAGAGGTGGGCAGCAGTCTTCCAGGTTGCTGACAGTTCAGATATCTTGGTTTCATTTTTAGTTAACTTAATATAGGCACATCTATTTGTATGTCCTTCAAAATAAGCACTTACCTGGAATTTATTTTATTAGCTATTTTGTAGCCATCCATTGTTACTAAAAAAATGTACTACCTCCTTCTTTACCTCATTTATTTTACACTTACAACTTCAAGTTATGTATGCAGCATATGGAATTTTCTTAAATTATTTCTGCATCTTAAGGCATATCTATACTTTTTTGATTAGAAAATTTATCCATTAGTAGTATATGTTCAATGTAGAAAAATAATATAGAAAAGCTACAGTAGAAGTTGTCTGTAATCTAATCCACACTCAGGTTATACATCCACAGAGTATCTGAGATTTACCATTATGACTTTAAAAAAAATGTGTTTAAGAAAACTTGGTTGCTACTTATAGTGTTATAATTCTGAACATTCATTTTACATAACTTTGGCATTTTTTGAAATCATTAATTATTATTAGAAAATGTGTTTTGAATTGCTGTATAATATTTTAAGTATACCATCTGTATGTATATATAAACACACAGCATATATATATATTCCATAACCATTTTCCTGTTGAAATTTGAGTTTCTGCTTTTTTTTTTTTTAACTACTGTAAGTGTTCCTTTAAGGATAATGACAGTAGCAACCATTTGCTATCTGCCAATGCCCACATGATCTAACTTACTTCTTGTAGCTACCTTATAAAAGATAGGCAACACTGCTTTAAAAATTCTAATAACTAATAAATTTTATTTTTTAGCAGTGTTAGATTTATAGAATAATTGAGCAGATAATACAGAGTTCTGCATTCCTACCCCATCTCTACCGTCTACTCCTGCACAGTTTCCCTTCATATTAATAGACTGAGTTAGTGTAGTACATTTATTGCAGTTAATAAGCTAATATTGATACATTCTTATTTCATTGTTTACATTAAGGTTTACTTTTTGTGTTGTACTTTTCTAAGGGGTTTGACAAACTATATCCACCATTAAACTTTCATACAGAGTAGTTTCATTGCCCTTAAAAATCCCTGTTCAACGTTTCCATCTCTTTCCAACTCCCCTCAAATCCTTGATAACCACTGATCTTTTTACTGTCTCTATAATTTTGCCTTTTCCAGAATGTGTATAGTTGGAAGAATATTATATGTAGCCTTCTCAGATTGGCTGTATGCATTTGCGGTTCCACCATGTTTCCTGCCTTAGCTGCTCTGAACATTCATATACAGGTTTTTGTCTAGACATAAGTTTTCAACTCATTTAGGTAAATACCAAGGAGCACAATTGCTGTATCAGATCATTTGATAAGAGCATGTTTAGTTTTTTAAGAAACTTGGGCAGTCCATTTCTATAGATGAAGAAATTGAGGCCCAGATTACTTAGGAGACCTGGCTGATATCTCAGAGCTAGTAAGTGGTGGTGTTGGCATTGGGACTACAATCCAGGTCAGTATGCTCTAGAGTTCATCTGTTGTTTGCTGTTTGTTTTAATATTATTGAACCTAAGATGTGTACCCATCTCTGATGATGATGATGATGATGATTATTATTATCATTATTTTTACCACTGCCTTTACCCATATACATCTCTGATTATTTTTATACACTAAATTCCTACATGTGAAATGATTGGACCAATGTTCAGCACATTTGTAAGGCCCTTAACACATATTACTGAATTGTCCTCTGAAAAAGTTTCTGTTTATAATTCTATAAACTACACTTCATACAGTGGCATTAAGTCCCTAGACCTCCAGCCCCACTTCCCTCATCCTCTAGCAAGTGGTTAGATTTTGGATGTGGTTACTAATAGAAAAAATCAGTAATTTTTCTTTCTGAATTTCTAATCACTCATGAATGCTGTTTTCAGAGAGAGCCAATCATAGTCCTGAAAGATGTAATCCCGAATGTTGAAATCCTGAATGATTGAAATCCATAAAGTCTTAAAATCCTGAAAAATCACAGTCCCCAAAGATCAAAATCCTAAAAATGTAATGGAAAAAATAATTTTCAAATGAAATAATTTACATTTTTAAGAAGGAATTTATTTTAGAAACATAAAAACATGACAGTGCTTCATTGGCCACTTGACACAAAATAAGCAATACTAAATAGCATACATAGTTTTACAAGCATTTGCAAGCATAAACACCCAGATGTATTACATGACAGATATAACATATGAACTGCTATGAGCATATGAACTGTATTTATGAAGAAATAGGTCATAAGGGAAATGCATAAACACCTATCACTATGGTTGCTAATTGTGTGCATCCTTCTATAACTGTGGGTCATCTGCAGTACCGTGATAAACAACCTCAGTTTTTTGACGAGATTGATTAAAAAACCATAATGGATCACCACCACATATGCAGTCTTCCAGAGAGGTGAGATCTCAAGAAATTTTATCTTTCACAAATACAGATGTATGAAAATGACATCTCTTCATTTATTGAGCAATTTCACTGTTTTTACATACATGTACAATGCTTACAAAGTCAACATGTGATAATGCACTTTTGTGAAGTCAGGTTTGCAAAACATGTTTAAAACAAATTAGAGCCCCTTAAGTCTCTACATAATTTATGCCTCCAGTGTTGGAAATGATGCAAAGATGAAATACATAGCATGGCAAATTGTAAAAAATAATGCTGACAATTTAAAATAGTGGAAAAGGAAACTGAAAAAAGAAAAAAATCAGTTGAGTGCTGTGACTCATGCCTGCAATCCCAGCACTTTGGGAGGCTGAGGCAGGCGGGTTGTCTGAGCTCAGGAGTTTGAGACCAGCCTGGCCAACATGGTGAAACCCCATCTCTACTAAAAATACAAAAATTAGCCAGGCATGATGGCGGGTGCTTGTAATCCCAGCTACTTGGGAGGCTGAGGCAGGAGAATCAATCACTTGAACCTGGGAGGCGGAGGTTGCAGTGAGCAGAGATGATGCCAGAAAACCCAAAATAACAACAACAATGTAGGGCTGTTGGGCCCCACAGGGTCGTGGGGTGTCTCTTATGCTGTGCTGAGGTGCAGGATCCGAGAAGTAAAGAGACAGGACACTGAAGAACTGGTGAAGAGCATCTGGGCTCGGGGGGCCACGCAGCCTATGAGCGGAGATCAGCGAGAGCCCAAATGCCCAGAAGCATCTGTATTTATTAGGTACAAGCAGGGGCAGGGTCGTAAGTGAGGTCATTATCTATAGGCTTAGTAATAGGGCATACATAATCACGTGAGTCACAAGCGAGGGGGCCACCCCATTATGTCAGTTGGGCAGAGAG